TATATATATATATATATATATATATATATATATATATATATATATATCTTTTACCCACTTCTTCCTTTTGGGGTCGCAGGGGTCACTGGTGCCCATGTCCAGCCAGTACACAGGTGCAAATCCATCCATAGAGATAAATGAGACAAACAACTCTCTCTCTCTCACCTAGGGGCAGTTTAGAGTTACCAGTCAGCCTAACATGCATGTTGTTGGTCTGTGGGAGGAACCCCATGCAGCACGGAGAGAACATGTAAACTCCACACAGAAAGGTCCCCATAATCTCTTAAGTTTCTTTCGGCTGCTCCCTTCTTCAGGGGTTGACACAAACTTGCATGGAAGATTTGGCATCCTGCCCTTCCTGATGCATCCTGGGTTCGAACCCACAACCTCAGGACTACAAGTTTATGGTACTAAACCAGAGCTACCTCGAATATATTCATTAATTTTAACAATAAAGCATCAACGCTGTCGACTCAAACCATTTGATGTTTAGTTTTTAATATGTATTTCATAGAAGTTGTTTTATAAAGCTGCCTAATCTTTTGTAACAACAAAGAAGATTTAAAAAAGTCCTAAAGTAAACCTGAGGGTGTTCGCCCCTGTGCTGCTGCACTTTTCAAACTCTCCAAGTTTCTGTTTAACCTGATTTGGCAACCTGCAAACAGCAACGTTACTTGTTTTAGCTTCTATTTAAGTTTTTATATTTTTTTTCAGTAAACAATTTAACTAAACACAACAAAGTCTGCTATAAAGGGGGACTTCCTAAATGTTTATTTTTATTTATTGATATATTTTCTTTCAGCTACTCCTTCTTCAGGGGTCACCACAGCGAACTAAGTTGCACGAAGACTGGATGTCCTTTCTGACAGACCACCGAGCTACACAGCCCTCTGTGTGAGCTGCTGTCTACAGCCCGGGGAGCAGATGGTGGGGGTTGAAGACCTTGCTCAAGGGCCCAGAGTGGGGCAAATGAGGTTGGAGACAGGTGTGACTGCTTCACTTATCCCACCCACATTTTGATGTTGTCAGCAAGCCCATCACAGGGACACATAGAGACAAACAACCATTTGAGCATGAACCTTGATGTCTTATTCTGACGTCTCAAAAACGACACCTATAACACAGCTCGCGTCTTTTTATGGTATTGATAGCATAATTTGGTTAAAATCAATTCATATGGCAAAATAAAATAAAAAAAGTTTATCTTCTATTAAAAAAAAAAAAAAAACTAAGAAAGAAACAAAGAACGATATTCAGCCTGCAGTTCCACCTTTGTCCACCAGAGGCGCTGCAGCGGCGCGTCTCCCTCACACTTCGCTCCTGAATCGTTGACTAATTAGCAGCGCGACCGGAAGTGTGGACGAGCTATCACAGCGGGCTGTTTGAATCTTGTTTTCGACCTTTCTGGTGAGTAAACAAAGCTTATTAATATTTATTAAGACTTTTAAAAGGCAGGAGTCGGATTCTTTTTTTCACTTTAGCGGCTAATTGTACTTAAAAGTCTTCAACGGTTAGTTTCAAGAGGCGCTAAAAACGGCGTTATGAAACTTCTGCCAAATTCCATTAAACATATAATGGTTTGTAATAAATCTCTTATTTTCAGTTGTGCTTTTCTTTAAAAAAAAAAAGATTTTAACGAAATAGGAACCAACTCGATTGATTCTACAATTCGGCTTAGAAGAAGGTGGTTTAAAAACTGTTAACAGTTTAAATCTTAGGGTTTTCTTGTAATATTATTAGTATTGGAACACCTGATTTATTTGTTTTTACTCATCATTCTTGATCATGCATCATTTCTGGTTTACGTTTAGAATAATAGAACTCAAAATGAACTTTTATAAAAGTATTTTTAATGGGTTTTTATTTGGGGTGGAGGTAGATAAATCTAAAACTCCTTTTAGTTGTTAATTATTGAAATATTATTATTTTTAATCTGACAAAATTAGCAATGCAGCTGACAAAACTACCATCCAGATAATAATCCCAGAAAATGGAAGATGACCAATAAATGCCCACGTCTGGACGTTTGTGTTAAAACAAATGGTTTCAGCTGAAAGAGCTTGAAAATAGCTGAAGGAAATGATAAATATGGAGGTTAAAAAGTAGGAATGAGCTGAACATTTTGTTGTATGAAAAAGGGCATAAGGTTTGCAGACGTAGTTAAACTCCAGAAGATGTGTGAGTTAAGAACACGGGAAAACAATGGCTGTGTGATTAATGTGATCACAATCAGTTTATTATGTGATCACACTAATTATGTGATTAGTCCAGGTGCAGTCATGGAAGAACTGTTGGTCTGCAGTCAGTAAGTATTCACGTTTTATTAAAACACTAAATACACAAAACAACAGTATAAATACACTTTTTTAATTTCCATAATTAAAAATCCCATCTGTCTTCCTATTGGCTGCAGGTCAGCCTATCAGAGCGAGATGCATGCGACTGGAGGGGCGTGGCATCATGACGGGGGCGTGGTCAATCAGTATGGCTCATTCTCTGAGGAGCTGCTGATGATAGCAGGAGAGGAGCTGAGCTACGAGGAGCTGCGAGCAGAAAGATACAGCCAGCAGAAGCAGCATGAGATGGAGGGTGTGTTCACTGACTGCAGGACGTTTACCGTCCACTGGGTGTTCATCGATGCCTTCAATGACTGCAGGAAAGAAGACTTCAGGTTCTCCTGTTCAGATGATGTTTCATTTGTTTTCTTCAGAAAAGATGAGACGTCTGAAGGACGAGGAGGAGCGGCTGGGTCAGGAGCTGGAGGAGAAGAAGAGGCTCTTAAAGCTCCGAGCGAGTCAGAAGGTATCAGCAGGGGTTCTGAGTGGTACCACTGAGGCTGAGTGGACCTGGTGGACTCATCTATGTCTGTCTTGTCCTCTCAGGTCCTGAACTCAGGTGAACCTGCCGCTGCTGCCTCCTTCCAAGTATACAACGAGTCTGCTCCTGCAAGGCCTGCTGGGTAACGAACCAGAGCGCACGCTGTCGTCTGAGTCAGAGTTCACAGATCTCACCGTGAGGCTCTCATCCAGCAGGAGCTCAGAGGCGTCTTCAGACGAGCTGCAGGACGACGTCTTCCTGCATCCTGAGGACCGAGGTGTCAGCGTAAAGGTCCGGTTTCCTCCACAGACAGGTGAATACACAGAACCTTGCTTTCTGTTCTGAGCACGTGCTCAGAGTGGGTCTACGCTCGGAGTCTGGGACTGAGCGAGACGCATCGGAGCTTTGCTAAACCAAACCTGAAGTTACAGAACGTGTTTCCCCTCAGGTGGTCCAGGTGTTCCCTCTGGACTCTGTCAGGTGTGTTTCTTTTAAATCCACCGCTACAGATTCATGTTCTAACCCTTGATGTCGACTCACGCTAAGGTTTTAGCAGCTAAATCAAACTGAAGCAACTTTATTCATAAAGCACATTTAAAACAAACAAATGTTTGGTGTAATGAAACTGTTAAAACAAATTATGAATAAAAACGTGAAGATCAAAACAGAAGAGAGACGATGAAGCAAAAGTAGCTCAGCATAAACGTGCACAATGAGAGAACTTGATCAAATTTAAATTACTTTAAACTGGACACCAGACAGTTTAAAACTAATTATTTTTAATAAAAGTCTGCAGATCTTATTTTGAAAGGTCATTTCCTGCCGTTTTCTGTGAAGTTTTATTTTTCAGAAGAAACTGATTTTCAGTGAAGTCGTTGTTTTTGTCAAACTCTTTTATTTCCTGTGAAGACTTCAGACCGGATCCAGTCTGGACTCGGGGACACCAACACGGAGTCTGATCCGTTGAACCAGACCTGCGCAGGTGAGAGCACCTCGGAAATGAACGAACGGATGAATTTTCTGTCTTTTAGCTTCTTCCTTTCACAGTTTCCTTACAAAATGTTTCGGTCCTGATTTCCCTCAAAGCTTCAGCATTTGAGTCAAATTATTTTTACTTTAATAAAAATCTTGTTGCTGTTTAAGATTATCTAGACATAAACATGGAAAAGAAAACCATTTGATTAAATTCAGTTTCAGTAGATTTTTCAGGTTCTTTTGAAGCTGCAGGTCGTCACACTGATTTAAATGTTTGAGCTGATCAGTTCAACTGACCCGACCCGTTTGGTTCTGCTTATTTAGGATCTCAGATCAAAATGATGGAACTAACTGGAGCTGGGCTTTTCGGGTTGGGTCCAGAATCTGTTCTGAACCCTTCCTTTAGACGGTCCTTGGTCCGTATCGGTTTAGCTTCAGTGCTAACTTTAGCTCAGGTCCGGTGAAGCCTGCTAACTTCAGGATTCACTGTGTCATCAGCTGAACTCGTGCTGATCTTGTGAACGTGTGGCTGATCTCAGGTGAGCAGGGAGGAACCACAGAAGACCTCCAGACTCAGCCGGGATGCCAGAAGACCGTCTCCAAAAGCGGGAAGGTTCTGAGTCCCATCGAGGAGGCCAGCAGCGAGGCCGGATCCCTGACCTCGCTGGGAGGACTGGCGACTGAAAGCTCCAGTCCACTGAACCAGCAGCAGCTGGACCAGAGCCGGGAGGAGATGGACCACACTGCTTCACCTCGTACGGAAACTTTTCAAACTTCTAATCAATTACTCGAATAAAACATTTTATATTTGATACAGAAAATGGTGTGAAAATGGGAGTGGTGGCGCAGAGGTTAGAGAAGGTGGGCCTGTGATCAGAAGATCGTCGGTTCAACTCCCGGTACCAACAACATAAGAAATATGGGTGGAATTGGTAAAGCAGCTACACCTGCCTCCACCCTCATTTGCCCCACTGTGCGCCCTTGAGCAAGGCCCTTAACCCCCACCATCTGCTCCCCTGGGCGCCCTGCATGGCAGCTCCCTGCTCCACACAGAGGCTGTGGTAGCTCGGTGTCTGTGGTTGAGTCAGGAAGGAGATCCGGCGTAAAATAACTGCCAGGTCTTCGCACAACTTGGTTCACTGTGGTGACCCTGAAGAAGGAGCAGCCGAAAGAAGAAAAAGTACATTTATATTTGATACAGAAACGTTGCATCATGGATGGATGGATGGATGGGTGGGTGGATGGATGGATGGATGGGTGGGTGGATAGATGATGGATGGAAGATGGACGAATGAGGGATTGATGGATGATGATGGTTGGATGTAATATGGATGATAGATGGAGCTGATTATTTATCCGACCACTCGGTTGTTTTCTAGTCTTTGCGTTCTTCCAGTAAGGAGTTGAAACACGGTTCAGATTCTTTGATTTCTGAGTTGATGAGTAAAAATCATTCGTTGACGTAAAGTTTTGAGTCTGAATCTCCTGGAAATGAATCGTTCATCTCGTGACCAACTCTAAATGAATCGTTCAGCTCGGGACCGACTCTAATTGAATCGTTCACCTCGGGACCAACTCTAAATGAATCGTTCATCTCGTGACCAGCTCTAAATGAATCGTTCACCTCGTGACCAACTCTAAATGAATCGTTCACCTCGGGACCGACTCTAAATGAATCGCTCACCTCGGGACCAACTCTAAATGAATCGTTCACCTCGAGACCGACTAAATGAATCGTTCACGTCGGGACCAACTCTAAATGAATCGTTCACCTCGTGACCGACTCTAAATGGATCGTTCACCTTGTGACCGACTCTAAATGAATCGTTCACCTCATGAACAACTCTAAATGAATCGTTCACCTCGTGACCAACTCTAAATGAATCGTTCACCTCGTGACCAACTCTAAATGAATCGTTCACCTCGGGACCAACTCTAAATGAATCGTTCACCTCGTGACCAACTCTAAATGAATCGTTCACCTCGTGACCAACTCTAAATAAATCGTTCACCTCGTGACCAACTCTAAATGAATCGTTCAGCTCGGGACCAAC